AATCGCACCACCCCACGCGGCGGCAGACGCACGTGCTGCCAACAACAACAACAACAACAGCAACAACAACAGCGACACCAACAGCGACAACAACAACAACAACACCAGCAGCAGCAGCAGCAGCAACAACAACAGTGATTTTGCAAAACTTATCCCAAAAGGCCTGAACTCTGCCCAAATCAACAGCAGAGGACACAAAAGACGTCCTATCGTCAAGGTAAATGTAGTGTTCCCCAGGTACCGTTGCAGCAAGCTCACTAAGCACCGGGCTAAGGATTCCTGCAAGGCAACCGGACTCAGCGGGTCTCCTTGCGCCAACCCTGTGGGGTGTTTAACAGGTGCCGGGTGAACTGCCCCTTGAAAGCTCAGCCACCGGACTTGCTGGGACCACTGGGCCTCAACCAGACGCAGCAAGGTTTCAGGGACAGCCCACTGTTGGCATGTCCAGAGGGTCAGCCCATAGGCTGCCTTGTCGATTGCCTTACTGAAATCTGGGGAGATGGCAACCTGCAGATTCCTTTGAGCCGCTCTCAGCTGCATTCGGATGAGTTGTGATTCCGCATCAGAGCCATGTGTTCCACCGCAATGATTTGGGGACATGTGAACGCCAAGTTGCTAGGACAATTGTTTGGCTCTATATTGCCAGACCAAAGTCTATAAAGGACAGGGCCACTGCTAATGGGCCTAACCTTTTCGGTGAGCAAAGCAGTACCATCCGAGGTCTCTTTGGGGAGGCAGCAGACCCGCCAATGCACCGCTGCAGTAGCCCATCGGCCGGTTTGTTCGCAGGACAGCAAAACCTGCAAAAGCCTTTCTCAAGCCTTCTCGGGTGCCTTCAACCAGAGATCCGTGGACCAGCCATCCGGTCCGCCGCCAGTTTGCTGCATTCGATTAGCTTGGTCCTTGAGGGCTTTCAGGGTGAGGACTTCTAGCTAAAATGGCCACCTGATGGCCATACTGCTGACAGAAATCCGGAAGGACCTGTTTACTATCCCTGGGGGAAAACAAGAATGTCGCACCAAGTTTCAAGAAGAGCCTTGGCACACTGTGCCCGGCCAAAGCAGTGTCGACCCTGGGGGTCTCTAAGCACCGAAGGGAGGGGGGCCTCTCTTTTAACCCAGCGGCCAGCGGCTTTCTGGTTCTGCATAAGCTGTCGCCACTTAGACAACTTATCACGCGTTTGACCTTCCAGAAAGAGCTCCAACCGGCCCCTAGCCATACGTTCCGAGGTGAGCCACTCTTCGTTGTCAACAAGAGCCGTGTCGCCAGAAGGCCTAGATTGCCTACTCAAAGCCTGCTTTAAGCTTTCTGTGGTTCGGCCATGCAAGGCTCCCAATGTTCTACGCAGTTCTCTACGAAGCTTGTTCTTGGTCATTTTTTCAACAGCAGTTCAGAAGAGTGGTAGCACGGGCATTTTTACAAAAACACACGAATCCACGAGTTTGGAGAGCTCAATCAACTTGTCTCGCCTCGCCTCGAACTCACATCGCTTTCCCTCCCGTCCGTTCTCCTTCCTCCTTTCTTGTTCCCTCTGCTGGTTTTCTTGTCCCTGTCTTATCCTCCCTGCGTCACTCCTTTGCTCACCTCGCCCGTTCACATGACTTACTCGCTTTTCAGTTATATTGCCCGCGTAACCTCATTCATCCAAGTCTTCCTATCACTTGTTTATCTTGCACACTCAAGTTTGCCTCACCTATTCACCTCACTCACCCTGAAAGTGGCGCCTCTCCCTAGGTCTCCATACTCTTTCAAGCAATCGCTGCCATTTCATGTTTTTCTATAACGCAGAACAGCGGTACCCAGGAAGCCGCCAATCATTCCCCTGAACACGCTCCGCGCTGGCGAGCGCTTTGTCGCTCAAGCGGCACGCGACGTGTTCAGCAACTTGGCAGCAGTGGATAACCCAAAGCTCGCCACATGCTCACTCGCTTGATACTGGCGGGCCCTCAGGGCGAACCCTTCTGCAGTTGGAATGGCCCTTCGTGACCTCGCGCAGGAAGGCCAGTTGAGAGCATTGCTCTCTACGGTGCTCCGCCCCGTGGTGCATAGACATGGATATGTAGATTGAAATGGCCAGATCTTGTGCTACAAGGCCTGCGTAGAGTGAGCGTGATTGTGATTGGGG